TAAAAAACTAATAAGTCAAATGTCTGTGCAATATATATTTTGTAACATCTTAATTTTTAGGTAAAAAAAAATTTATGAAATTTAAATTTTTTTTAAAAAATGATGATAATAATAGGAATTTATATTATTTGAGATTATTTAAAAATAATAATATAGTTAGGTATTTAATTATAAATTAAAAACTTAAGTTTAAAATTTATATAAAAATATTTTATTAAGATATAATTTTAAGATTTTAAAAAAATTATTAATGTGTGTGTGTGAGTTAAAAAAAAAGAAAAGAAAACGAAAGTAAAAAAAAAGGGGGGGAGGGGGTTTAGTCCCACATCGGTTAGATGTGGGAATGAAAGGTACCTCCTCATGTATAAAAAAAGGAGGTGCATTGTAGAGGAAGCATGAAAATTTTTTATTGTAATTTGTGAAAATTGCAACTAAGGGCCCAAGATGTAATTTGTGAAAATTACAAGTAATGGCCCAAAGGTTTGAATGATTAAATTCAAACTTATAATTTTTTTTAATATAATTTTAGGACCACAATCCCATTTTTATATTATTTTTTCTCTTCCTCTCACGTTGCTCGACGTTTTCTTGCAAGGGGGGATTATTTTCTTTTTCTTCAGGTATGTTCTAACTTTCCTGTTTAGATAGCATTTAAAAATTTATTTAATTACAAAATTAATTTTATAGTTATTTTCTAAATAATATTAGCTTTTAGTGATATAATTATTTTATAGGATAGAGTAAATATTTTGATTAAGATTTTTCTATAGGATAGTTAATCTGATGATATGATAGATTAAAAATATAGGTTAAAGCTCTTAGGGATATAATAAATATTATAGAATATTTTCTTGAGGTTGAAACTCATGTTTAAGAATTTTGAGTTAAACTCTAGATCTATATGGTTGAATTTATGTAGAATTTGAGATATAGGGATAAACCTCTAATTATTAAATATTTATTTAAGTATGAATAGGTATTTTTGAGGATATAGAAAGGTAATTTGAGGCTTCAGAATAATTTTAAATTTTTAATTTATTTTTGGACGAATTTTTAGAATATAGAAGGATGAAATTGTGATACTAGAAGTGATTTGAGACTTAAAAATAGTTTATTAGGGTACAAGAATTTTAGAAAAGAATTTAAAAAGTTAAATGAGGTATAAATCTTAAATTAGTGTTAATATGAATTATGAATCTAAGACTTTTTAACTCTTTAAATTAGAGTTATTTATTAATATAAAATTAATATATAGTATTGTGAAATAATTATGTAGATTATATTGACAAAGATAGTGGTGAAAAAGGAGTTGTGAAGGGAAACTTGTTATTCAAGACACAAGTTAACCATTATTAATGTGTTGTAATGGGTGTGTTTGTGAATGGTTATGTGTTGTTTTATTGTTTGGAAAAATTATGAATTTATTGAAAATAAATACTGTATATACTTGTTTGAAATTATTGCCAAGTAGGTTAAAAATTTATTTTTGTTTATCATAATGATATATTATTGTTCGAATATATTCCTGTTCGGATATTTGAATGATGCATGACTTATCAAGGTATTTTAATATATGGTGTTAATGAAAATTTCTGTTCGGTTAATTATTACCACGTGGTAAGCCCTCATTGGACCCAATGAGTGGCGTGTCGCTTGGTCCAACTCACCTTTGGCTGGGTGATTTGGCGTCCGAGCATGACGAAAGGAGGATATAAGGTGCAGTTATGCAAATTAAATACTTGTTCGGTTTGTTTGAAAATATTATTCGATTAAATGTTTTGTGTGCCCACTTAGCAATTGCATGATTAGTTACAACCGCATGTATTATTGCATATTAATTTTTGGTTACTGGGACTTTTAAGTCTCATTCCCCGTGGTTAATATTTTTACAGGATCGAGTCCGGCCGAGAAAGCACCAGAGGTGTAACTATGGTGTATGAGACACCATCTTTTACGTTGCCTCTTATTTTGGATTATACAATGTATCTTGTACCAACTTAGGATATATCTTCTTTGTGAAGCATGTAAACTCTAATCCTTTTTATTAAAAGTATTTATATGACCAAGAGAATTAGGTCTGTTCCTCTTGATTTATGATCTGATTTGAATATCATGCCATGAGGATTATGTCTGTCCCTCATGGTTTTAATTGCTTTTTTGGATATTTTAAGACTTGTGTTATGTTTTGGATATATCATGGTAAGAAAATTTTCTACCATGATAATTGTTTTAATAATTTGTGAAAAATCAATTTGTAAATTTGAGGGTGTTACATATTTCAATAATCTTTTATAATAATGGCTGCGATAAATATTCCAAAGTTATTATTAAAATAAAATAGAAAACTTAGCTTATAATAATTTTTACACTTTACAAGCCATGAATAATATATATTATAATATTATTGACTTCACACTGAATAATATTGTTCACTCATAATAATACTGTTTACCTAAATATTGCTACCATGAAATTGCTACTCTTTCCATCCTAAATTATAAAATGATTTTGGAGAAATTTTATTATCACAAAATATAAAATAATTTAAGAAAAATATAATTTCATTAATAATACTTTTTAAATATTACTTTTAAATGGAGAGAAAATTAAAATAATATAATAATATAATAATTAAGTATTTAGAAATATTTTTAAAAATTTATATTTTTTAAAAAATAAATTTATAAAGTTTATTATATTATATTTTATTAATATACATAGTATTATCTCAAATTATAGTATAAGATCATCACTGTTGACTTTCAGCGGATGCTTACCATTTTGGAGTAACACTGTTCGACACCCTGCCATTGCTTCTCCTCTCTCTGTTGTTGTTGTTGTTTTTTTTAAAAAAAAAAAAAATCCGAAAAGTGCATTTTCTTAATTCTCCCTCGGTCAGTGATCATCAAGCTTCTGATCCACCTTTGTTGACCTCCATCACCTACACACCATCACTACTGCCAAAAAGAGGGCAGAAGTATCATGCTCTCATGGTCTGGATCCTCTCGTAATTCTCTCTCTCTTTTTCTTCTTTTCGTCTTATCTCTACCCGTTCAGATTTAATTATTTTTCCCAAAAAATTGGATTTTTTGATAAAATAAATAATCACATAAAAATAAATAAATTGAAATACAGTTATATACCATTATTAAAATTTTTTATAAATTAAATTTTATTTATTTTATAGCAACTATACATTGTTCATGTTAAATTTCAAGAGTTTAAATTTTCTTTTCTTTTTGGTTTAACTGGTTCAGAAAATTAAATCAATTTATCTTGTAATCTTGAATTTTTATTTTTTTGAGATATGTAATTATATTAAATAAATATAGTAAAAGCATTCCTGCCATTAATAATAACGATTTCTCACAGCTAGCTTCCGAAACAGAATACTCTCACGCTAAAAAGACTTGTATTCTCTCCATGCCATTCTACATGGATCCATATATATAATATAAATTTGTGCGTGTCCTTTCTAATTAACCTGAGAAAGCATTTTTTTTTTTGGGCCGTTAAAATCTCACGTCTCTGTTATATTCTTCTTCTTCTTCTTCTTCTTTTTTGACCACCATCTGTTATGTTCCTTTCTCAGCGTATTATAAATTCGTATTTTTTGAGAAATAAATATATTAGATTTAGGTTCATTCATCTTGGTAGCCTGAGAGATTACAAAATGAATTAAGACACATTCCTTAGTGTACATTGAATTTTATTCTTCACGCCTCTTCCCAATTATATATGTATTAATTTTTCCATGTCACATAAAAATATCATTGAAGATTATAAAACTGAAACTTTTCCACCGTTCAAAGGATTTGAGCTGACATCGTACGTGGAGATATAATTCATACTAATTATGCTCAAAATTGAAGGGAGGGAATATTTACCTCTTCACGCGGTTACAGATCTTTTCCAATTTAAATTAATTTTGTGATCCACATGAGATAAATATACATTTAGTCATATAATTTTATATAAAATCTTAGTTTAGTCTTTAATTTTATAAGGTATCTTTTCAATCATTTAATCTTGATACTGTTAGTTTTAAATTATTAACTTTTATGTCAATCATTGTATGTTGTTTCAAAAAATTAAACTTAATATGTTAATATTTAAGAATATTGTATTAATATTTAATAATTTAATATATATATATATATATATATAATTAAACTAACAGTGTTAGAATTTAAAGATTGAAAATATGCACTTTATAAAATTAAGGAATCAAAATAAAACTTTGAATATAGTCAAAGGACTAAATGTACACTTTAGTATTTGTATTACAATTAAAAATATGAAATCTTATGCTTCCTCTGGTCCACAATATGAAAATTTTGCATACCAATAAAATCTTTATTTTCATAAAATATATATTGTAATTACCAACATTTTATAATGAGTGAGATATAACTTTACACAAAAATTTAGGTTAATAAATACAATGAGAAAAATGAAAAAAAAATTTACATGTATTAAGTTCCTTATATTTTGAACTAAGATTATTTGAGAGAAAATGCTTATATTTTAAACCAAGATTAGTTGAGAGAAAATGTTTATATTTTGAATTGGAGGGAGTAATTAATAAATCTGATGGGTAACAATGGAATTAACGCACATTCAAAGGTGGCTAAGTAATGCGTGAGACTAATGAGGGTATAGGCGGTTATTGTATTGTAAATTAACGAACTTATGACGGAAAATTGACAAGTCATCGTAATTATTAGGCGGAAAATCAATTTCATCAATAAAAATAAACATTTTGATATTATCTAGACAAATTTTTCTATACACTGCATAATGTTTGTATATTATTGACAAACTAAAGGATGAAATGATATATCTGAATAAAAGGGTAATATTATAATATTCGGAGAGATGCGGCATGTGTAAAAATGGAGCAAAATAAATTGAAACAGATAATTTTCACCATAGAAAAAAAAATTGGCATAGATAATATAAATACAAATATTTAATATGTTTCTACTTTCGTTGGCTTCATGGTTTTGAGACGCCAAAACGAAGGAAGGATTAACGAAGGAATGAACCAACGTGAAGCAGTTACTTCTATCCGTTTCTGCCGGGAAATGCTGTTTTATAAGCTTCCAACGATCACTTTCAAGAATCGCATTCGCTCTCTTCACTCTTTTCCTTCCAGTGCTCTATATTCTCTCCTCACTGATCTCTTCTCGGTTCTGATTCTCACAAAAATGAGCGGTATCCTTGAACAGACCAATGTATTCAAATCTCTGTAAGTGTTTCTGGAATTTGGATCCCGGTCTCTGCTTAGGGCTCTTATATTTGCCAAGAAAATGTTTCAATTTGAATCAGTTGAAAATGTTTCGATTCCGATCAATCAATTGTTATCTATCGCTCTTTTTGAGTTCCAAGATTCCATGCAGATGAATGAGCAGTATTCTCGATCAATCATTGTTATCTTTTTCATTCTTTTAATTATCTTTTCAATTTGAATTTTTCTGATATTATTAGTTTTACACTCTTCAGGTTCGTGGGCTGTTTAGAATGCAGAGTTTGGTATCGTCGTTGGAGAAGTTCTAAAGCAGATCTGAATTTAGATCAGTTCAACATCAGGGTCATTGAACCAGTAGGATTCGGTCCGTTCAGGAAGGTTTACCGGTGTCACGATGTAAACAGTAATCGAGTTGTGGCAGTTAAGGAGGTTTACGCTGGTGACGGTAGTGAAACAGAAATGATAAATGAAAGAATCGAGTTTCTTAAAGATCAGCCGCATAACAACGTGGTCAGGTTGATTCCGTGCCCATCATCGTTCAGTTATATTATTGCAAATATAGTAATCAGTCATGGAGGGAAGGTTTCTTGTTTTCTGGAAAATTTGGTCATCTGGGGTTTATGAAACCTTGCTGATTATTGCATATTTTGTCTAAACAGTTACTGTTTCGAGTAATTTCATCTAATTGGAGGGTCATATGCAAATTTACGTTGGATTTGAACGAAAACACTCAAACTTGAGAGAATGATATTGCTTATGCAGTTACATATGTTTTTGTATCAGGTTGCTGTATACATTGAAAAGGGGATGTTACCTCTATCTCGTTTTTGAGTATATCACCCCTAATCTGTACTATTTCATTAACCTATCAGAAGACCTTAGATATCCAAAACAAAGAAATGTAAGTTAATCTTTCTGTTGAATATCCTTGTCCAGCTTACGCTTTATATAGCTTACTTCTTGAGGAAAGGTTGCTTATTTAATTTACCCTTGTCCTCGCATGCAGTATATGTTGTATCAGATGCTTGCGGCTGTAGCACACTATCATTCTAACGGGATTCTCCTCCGAGATCTGAAACCACAAAATCTACTCATGGATTTTCGTGATGGTTTCCTCAAGCTATGTGATTTCGGTTTGTACAGTTCATTCGGAGATCCTGAACCTTGTGATGTATGATAATATATACCACTTATCCCTCGATTTGCACTCATATATATATATGGAAAAGTATAGAATCACTCAGGGCTTTATGGTACTTATTTACAGATACCAGTGTCCTTGTATACTGCGCCTGAGGTCTTGCTTGATAACAATGAACATTCACGGCCATCTGATCTGTGGGCCGTGGGTTGTATTTTTGGAGAGATAGTAATCAAGAAGCCTCTATTTCATATTGGTAAAAGCAATCAGGATCAGCTAAGGGGCATTTTCGGGTAAATTCTCTACTCCAGAAACATCATGTTTGTGATGTGCTTGATATAATGACAAGCGACTTTCATTATTATGAAGTTTGTTAGGAACTCCAACTGAGGAATCTTGGCCGGGAATTAGTGACCTGTGCCCTACACTTGCCTTCTACCCCAAGTTCGAACCGCTGGTATCTTTCCATTGACTGTTAAAAGACAGTTTGTTTTTACTGGACGTGTGGCTGTAGAATCTTGCGGGGAATGAAGCTACGAGTTTTAACCATATGCACCTGTTATTTTGTGCAGAACTTGTCTTCAAAGTTTCCTGATTTGGAACCAGAAGGCGTTGATATTCTTTCGGTAATCAAGTTTAGTTTGCCCCACTTCATTGAAAAGTAATACTAAATATATATATGTGCGCGCGCGCGCGCGCATGTTATCACGACTATCAGTAGAGTTTGTAAATTAAATGACTGGTATTGTTTATGTTGACATATGGATTCTTGCTAACTCTTGTACTAAATTTATTGTGAGTGATACAGAAGTTGCTTTGTCTGGATCCAAAAAAAAGAATTTCAGCTGAAGCAGCTCTTGACCACGCATTCTTCAATAATGATTTGTGGTATACACATACTCACTTCTTTTTACATATATTAATTTAAGTTCGGTGTATATCTATTAAACAGCTGATTCAATTTTATTTTTCATTAATTGATTGTTATTCAAAGTAAAACACTGATGAGCAAGAGAAAACGGATCCAAGACGTTGCTGAACCTAGAGGTACGAAGAAAATCGAACTTGGGGACAAGAGAAAACCGATCCGAGACGTTGCTGGACCTAGTGGTACAAAGAAAATCGAACTTGGGTACTCCACAGATTAATCATTTCTGTCGACAAATCGTCACACATACATGGATCAATATGCAGCAGAAGAAAAAGAAAGCTTAGAAGATGAAGTTCCCATTATACTCTTTTGTTATTATGCCAATATTAGCATAGTTCTATAGATAGTTATACTAGAGATATAGAAATATTTTAATTTTGTGTTTTGTGGTTTACATGTTGATTTTGAAGCGATGTATGGTCTAAAGTGGGGATCTTCAAGTTAAACCTTGCCCTTCAAATATCTCTTATTTTTGTGCTAGATCAAAAAATCTGAATCCAATTAATTGGGATCTTCAAGTTAAACCTTGCCCTTCAAATATCTCTTATTTTTGTGCTAGATCAAAAAATCTGAATCCAATTAATTCTGACTTCTTCGTTCTCTCTTTATATTAAGTCTGCATCTTTTTATACTTCAGTTTGCCGGAAAAATAATGTCTAAAAAAAAAAACGAAAAGTTCTATATTAGTCATCTTATTAACAACTAACTGCATGCATGTGAGTGATCAGAATTAATTGATTAGGCTGCTGGGTGATTAATTGTCAGCCAATAAATCAAATTAATCAATTATTTTAGTTAAATAATTAATATTTGAAATGTGTACTTTTTTGAATGGATGATGAAAACTTGACTTGAGAATGAGAATAGATACTGAAAGTCCTTTACTTCTTAAAAAGGTGTAAAAAACAAGAAAAAGGCAAAAAGTTTTACTCTAGATTGGCAAAAATTAATCAATTCATATATCAGAGAGAAAATCAGGGATAAGAATTCGCATGTTTGATAAGCTAACTGATTAAAACTGAACAATTATCTTCATTAAATCAAATTCAAGGTTTTTTTTTTTCCAGATCTCACAAGCTTGGAACTCAATCACCGTTACTTATGGAAGTCAAGTGCTCATCAATCTTCCCGATGGATTGAACTCTGAACTTCGGATTGTCCTTCTCTGCGCTACCCCCCTTACAAAATGCATCATATAATTGCGTGTTCGTGCAACGTGGGGTGGGAGGAGAGTTTCAAAGCTGTAGTAAAACCCCATTGTAATTTCACTACTTATATATTTATATAGCATCTATAATATATAATATGGTTAAAAAAAATAACCTTCATTGTTCAGTGTGGGGCTATTTTTAAAATTATATATATATATATTGAAATAATTAAGGTTTCTAATTCATCTTTTTCGAAATAGATGGAGTACTGCCTAAATTTTATCTTGTGTACCTTCACATGTTTCTAATAAACTCTTACCTTCATAGTAATTATGTCTTATATATAGATTATTCCAAAACGCTATAATTGAGTTGATTAAAACTATCAACTGAACTTAAACCATACATGTTTTAAAATTTTAGCTACAAAAACATAGATAAATCTTTTCTTTTTCTCCTTGAAGAATTATGAAAAAGAAAAGGGCAACAGCGTACGTACATGTACATAAGAGAATTTTTGTTTTAAATTTGCTTCCTTCACTTTTAAATTTAGTGTTGTTATTATTCCAAATAAACTAATAACAGCCGATGCGATGTGTCGTACGGGATGGTTAGAATTTCAACTGCACCAAAATAAATCTTTCATGATAAAAATTCAAATGGTTCAAACCTCATGCGATATACAGAAGATTAGTGATTAGTGAAGGCCATTTTATAAATACGCGGAATCTTTAAATTAATTATAGTATTTAGAAATCCATCATTAGTTATGGTTAAGTGAATTTCTCCAACTCTGATTCCTAAAAGTATCATCTCTGGATCTTTTGAGTGAATTTTAGGTGATGTCCAAAGCAATACGCATTAATAGTATAAAAGATTTTAATGACATTAATTTGATCACTGAATTTTAAGTTAACCCCTATTGCAATTAATTAATTTGGTTCATGGAAGCATATTATAATTGAATTATTATAGAATAGCGTACTATAATTTCTGGGCAAAAAAGAAGCGTATTATAATTTGATAATTAATTTTTTGATATTTAAATTAAAGAATTACATTATTTTATTAATTTATTAACTAGAGCCAAGACTATATACAATTAAAAATTGATGACAATAGCCATAGAATTAGTTATTTTGGCGGGAAATACTGTTTTATCATCCTTTAAGCGTTCTTTCTGAATAGCGTTCTTTCCAACCCATTTAGTCGAATCTCTCTAATTATCTTCGTAATCCTGAATCTCTCTCTAAAGCATCTCGGTTCTCTCTCCACTCTCATTTCAAAATGTGTGAATTCGTTCAAACTATCATAAGTTTCTGCGAATCTGTGTAAGTATATCTTCACGTTTAATAAAAATCCGATCCAGAAGTTGTTGAATATTTTGAATCAAGAATTTGGATATTGTGATTTAGATCCTTTGTCTAGGGTATGCACGTATTTTCTGAAAAATCTTGCGGAAGAAAATGTTAAAACAGTACTTTCAATATCAGTATAATTGTCGATAGCGCGTATCTTTTTAACTCTTTTAGTAATCTTTGCATGTAATTTGAATTTTCTGATGTTAGTTTTTGTACACAACACAGGGTTATGTGCTGTTCCGAATGGGGAATGTGGAATCCCTGGATTGGATCGGTACCCAATTTAGAGGAATTAAACTACAATGTTATTGGCCCGGTTACAGACTGTACGTTGAACAAGGTTTACCGTTGTGTTAAAGCTGATGTCGATCAATCGATGGTATTCATCAAGGAGATTTTCATGCCTGACGGATATAATACAGCTGTTCAGACATCGATAAGTGCTAAAACGAGTTTTTTTCGATTCCACGGTCATCCAAACATTATAAGGTTGGTCTTAGACTCTTCACTCAGTAATCAGTCATATGAACATTTCTTGCTTTTGGAACTTTATTTGCTGATTATTTCTGTACGAGTATTTGAATCTTAATCTATCACCGTTCGAATGTCGAGTTGAAGTCTGAGAAAAATTGTGTTTAAGTATTTAGTGACGAATAATATACGTACGTTGTTTAATTTTGTGTATCAGGGAGCTGCGTTCATTCAGGAGGGGGAATTACATGTATATTGTTTATGAGTATTTTTCCGTTGATCTTTCCAATTTCATTTCGTTTCCAAAGATCCAGAGAGATCCGCAGACAAGAGTAAGTAATCTTTCTGAGATGTTATAGGTAAAATCATTAATATCTGGAGATATTCTATTTTGCAAGAAGTCATAATATAATCTTCTGCCTTTCTTTCTCACGTTCTTCGTTATCATCTTTTTTTTTTTTTAAAAAAAAAAAGCATTTATTCATGTATTCAGGATCGTGCATCCGAAATTGTGAAAGTTTGTGAAATGAATTAGCCTCCTTCCGCCTCTCCTTCTTTTCTCGTAATAATTATTTTGATCTTCTACGTATTAATAATGAGCACGTTAATTTTGTGACTGATGGTTCACTTTCTTTTGTTTGTCCAAGCAGTTGATTCTTCAGCAGATACTCTCTGCCGTAAAACATTGTCATTCTTATGACATTATCCTCGGGGATATAAAACCAAAGTACATACAAATTAATTTCACTGCTCGTTTAATCAAGCTAGCTGACTTCGGTTTCGCCGGCGCATATGGAGATCCCTGGGCATCTTATCCTGTATGATATATAACATAACTCCTCAATTTTCTTAATTATTGCATCATATGCATGCATGGTCGAGACTCAATATTGTATTTGAGTACAATAATTGTCATTTGAGTATAAAATTGTCATGGTTTCCGTGTAAAATTTAGAAGTAATCATTTTGAAAGTTATATCTAACCAATATATAAAATTAATGTCCTCTTAACAGATAAAACCCTCCCAATACAGTGCTCCTGAACTCCTGTTTAGAACTCGTCAACATTCAAAGGCAGCTGATATGTGGTCTGTCGGCTGTATATTTGGAGAGCTGGTAATTGGGAAACCTGTATTCCAGGGCACAACTACAAGGGAACAATTGGTGTCAATTTTTCGGTAACTTTTGCGCCTCAAAAACACATATTAATTGTTTGTGTGCCAAATGTGATCTTGAATAATGCCATGAAAATATAACAATGGAATTTCAATATGAAGTTTTTTAGGCACGCCAACTGAGGAATCCTGGCCAGGAGTGAGCAGGAAGTGTAGAACAATTTCATGCTTTCCCAAATATCAACCACAGGTAAGTATGGTTTATTTGTTGACGAGATCTTGTGTTGTAGAACCCTCCAAAGCTTGGGTTTTAAACTTGCATTTCTTGTTTGTGTAGAACCTGGCAGAAAATTTCCCTGGTTTGGAACCAGCGGGCATTGATCTTCTTTCCGTAAGTTCATCCAATTTCTTCTGTGATCTAAGTTAATTGTTCGCATTTAATAAGAACGAAGAAGTATAAATATTACATGAAATTAAAGTGAGAGCGTGCAAGAACATCAATGCACATGACGTAATTGTTCTGTGCTTTTCATGACTAACGGCTAATTTTATTTTGAGAGACAGAAAATGCTTTGCCTGGATCCAAGAGAAAGAATTTCGGCTGAAGATGCTCTTGAGCACGGATACTTCAATTTTAACCACAACTGATTCCTTGCAATTTTAATTTCAAGTTGTCATCAGATATTTCTATGACTGGGGGCATGCCCTTCATGTTGTAGCATAGTTCAAAATTTAGTACTATTCTTTCTAATAATAATAATAATAATAATAATCGCTTTTTCTTCATTTGAATTTAAATTGCTTATGGCTCCTGTTCTTCTTGCTCCTCATGCGCCCCAATAGTAGGTTTTCAGTAATTTTACGTGTTAGAATGAGGGTGAAAAATAAGCAAACTAAAATTAGGTCTTCAAATATCCCATGTTCATTCTCAGCGCTGGGCCCTTGCACGATTAAATATTTAACCAAGATCGTAAATATTTAATTTTCAGTACAAGACAATATTTAACCGAGATCTTAGTCCCTTGAACGAAATTGCGAACAGCTAGCTAGCCTTGTTAAAATGCCAGAGTTATATGATGATGGTGGGAAAAAAAAAAAAACAAACAAACAAACGATGATGACCACGATCAATTGAATTTTCCATTCTTGCAATGCCAGAGTTATATGTCCTTCACATTGATGACAATGCATGTTTTACAATTTTAGTTCGATATAATTGGAATGGAATTACCCTGACTTTGAGTTTTAAATATTAAAAAATATTTTTTAAAATTCTTCTTGCCAAAAGTTTCAATGAAAAATAACATGAAAGTATTGTTTTATTTCGTATTTAATTATATGATTTACTTAATCAAATATTATTCCGCAATTTAAAATGTTAAAATTTATTCTACCGTCCCAATTTTAGGACATCTCAACTCAAATTCAATAGTTTTTTTTTTTTGTTTTATAAAAGGATGGTTGTATTGTTTAAAATTGGCTAAATGAACAAATTACTCTATCAACTTTAGATCCAACTAGTAAAGTACCTATGTAATGCACGGCCTATATATAATAATTTTTTTAATAAGTGACATATCTATCAGTTATGATGAATTAAAGTTTTTATAAATAAGTGTCAATCTTATAGAAAGATTTTTCTCAAAAGAATAACTTGTAGCATATCATCTCTAATACTCCATATCATCATAAATGTAGTGGGGCTATGTAATTATCATTTTTAATGTTAAATATGCATATTAGCATATTAAGTCAATGTAAAAACTAAATGAATACAACATGAATGGATACAATAAGCATATTAATAAAAATTTATAATTAATTCGACCAAAGTATCGAAAACTTTCCTATAAACAGCATTAGAAGTTTTGTCTGTGGATTGACGATCCTCATCAAGAACCAATATTTTTAAACCTTCCCTACTTCGAACACGAGAAACAGCAACATATAACTGGCCGTGCGTAAAATAGGACGAGGCAAATACAAACTAACATTACACAGGCTCTAGCCTTAGCTTTTATTAATGGTCATTACAAAAGCCAGCATAATAAAAAACTGCCTCCTTTTCATAGTAAATAGAAACCTAGAATCAGATGAACACATAGCAATAGGAGACATATATACATTCATCCCTATAGTTGATTTAGACATTTCTTGGGCTTCAATAACATGTTTTTCAATTCTCGTAACTATAAGACGTGTACTATTACACAACTCCATAGACTTTTCAATGTTTCCCATCGAAATAATTGGGACACCAACTCTCAATCTTATTTCATGATTTGGGAGTCTTGATATTATAATTGAATTTAAAAAATTTATAAAGTGCAAGTCATCGAGTGATTCTGTCACGCCCCAAAAATAAAGGTAACCGGCACAGGATGTGAACCACATCATACATCTCGTAAGTCACAAATTTAAGGTTTCTTTCATTTAATTAAAATGTACTCAATTTTACACTGACATTTTACTACTATCAATACTACTCATTATAATAATTATTTCAACATTTTGTAAAAATTTTGACAGAACCTCTTTTGTAAATAAAATCTCTCTAAATTTTTGTATCACAAAAATTTTCCTTAAACATTATTTCAACACTGTATCACAAAATGTATCATAAACTAAGGGCTCTAATTATAAGTTATGTGGAGCACCTAATCATATATCTCATGATATAATACATAAATTTTACTTTTACATCTATAAGACATATTTACAAAACAAGCCTCCATCTTTGGTAAGCAAGACATACAGCGTCAATTATGCTATCTGAGACCATAATAATTTTTCAGTGAATAACGCCCCAACAATAAATAAAATGAAAAGTTTGAAATAGTTATGTAAGTTAAAGAGACACAATTTTCGTAAAAATTTAATAAACTTCATAATAAAATAGCTCTATAAAATTTCAAATAAAATCTCAAATTATTGAACTGTCATAGCAAATGATAATTTCACTTGATTTCAAGAAAGCGCATAAATAAAATAAAAATTTATAAACAAATTACTAAATAAAAACCAATAGAATATGAAATCATCAAATGGTTGCATTCATAATTATAGGAACTTATCAGAATAATTTACAAACGTGGATACACAGTCCACGAGGGTAACTAACCAAACGCGGCTTATGCCACGAAAACAAACGTGGACACACAGTCCACGAGAATATGTAACCAAACACAGCCGAAGCCATGAAGCAAACATGGACATACAGTCCACGAAGATAATGTTAACCAAACGCGGCTTGAAACCAAGAAATCAAACGCGGGTACAAAGCCCACGAATAACCATCCCTCCGTTCCACATGCATTGGCTATCGCACGGGACTAACACCTCCTATAAACACCCTGCTAGCTAAGTGTACCATGGTGCATCACAGGCTAATGGAACTGTCGTTAGCAACTAGTGTTCTATATAAAGTCCCTTTTTAAAATCATTTTCAAACATGCGAGAAAATCGTCACTTTCAAGATATAGTTCTCATTCTCAAAATCAAACTCACATGAATACTTTTAAGCTTTAAAACTTGCCAGAATCAAATTTCATATCCAATGTCCATGATTGCATTTATTGAATAAAAAAATTTTAACTTCGAACTCTCTATCCAATATTTGATAATAAAAATCTTACAATCAAAGTTCAAACTTGATTTAATTGATCAAATAGCATTTCAAATTTGGTAAAGTTAATTTCTCAAAATAAAGTAATGTTAATCAACAAATATTCAATAATCGCATTAATGCTATAAAAATAATTTCCAAAAAAATATAATATTTTAGTAAATAAAATTTTGATTAAAAAAATCAGTTGATACCACTTACCTAAAGTGTGCCCGAGTACTAAATTAACTTCTTAGAACCCAATCAAACCTTTTTTCCACTAAATGCCCTATCTAATATAAAAAGAAACTTCAATGTCATAATCAACTTTGATAACCTCTTTCCAACTCTTGTCAAGTGCAAGCAATAAAACTTAATTAATATTATATATACACAAAGCATAATTAGTCACTCTAAATTCTAAGTTCTCCTGTCACCCTTTCTATCAAGCAACTTAAAGGCATTCCCAAATCAAATTTTTAAACATTATCATTTATAATATCATCCATACAATTGCATAGAATGCAACTTGTCTCGGCACAGTTTCATACTCAAAATTCTCCATACCATTCAAGTTAAATTCATGAATAATTAATACTCAAACTAAGTATGTACCCATAAGAGTTAATGAAATTTTAAAAAAATCATATCCGACCACAACTTAGCATTCCACTAAAATACAATCTCCTAATAAACTTTTTGTCAGAATTCCAAAACTACATTACTGCCAATATTCCACAATAAGGCTTCTTTTCCTTTTTATTATTATTTTTTTATTTAACATTCACATCTCTTATCACATAGTTCATCAACAACCATTTATTTCCATGATTTCAAAATTGCCCGAACAAATGTCATGCTCAAATTTCCTTTACAATCTTCATTGTAAGTTTATAGAGTAATAGCACTCAAATTAAACATACTAATTGCAATGATCAATGAAATTTAAAAAAATATACAACCCAAGTAAAGTTTTCTCATCATTATGTCAAACACCGTCTATAAACTAATTCTTAAGCCCAAACCAAACTTCTTACTCTTTGATTTCATTTCCTAAAGATTTTCAATATAAAGCTCCATCACTTCAGTCCTAAGATACGCGCACGCACACATAGAGAAATGATAAGAGAAAAGTAGACTCAAAATCTCTTTACCTCCGTTCACACTGGTAGGCACAGGGAGGAAGGGACGAAGGCAGATATAGGGAGAAAAATGATAGCCATCAAAACAGACCTCCTACAGCCACTTAAATTTAGGATGCTGTAAACAACGAGAAAATTTTAGACTCCCCTAAACCAAATCAGAGACGGGAAGCACGAAAGGATGGGGAAAAAAATGAATAATGGCACACAAAAATAGCTAACCATGAGGACTAGAGAAAGAAAAGCTCACTGTGGGACTTCACATCAGCAGTGAACGGAGCTGTTGCACCTATCAACGGTGATGATCTGGCAGGTTGATCGATCCGTGATGCGAAACAGGGGAGATAATGAAGAACTCCAGCATTCCCAAGTAGCAGAACAACAGAGGAAGGAAAGGAAGGCTTCTCGTTTATAGTAGCTGACGTCAACCAGTGGGGGAATAAAGGAGGTAAATCAGAGGAGCTAAGGGCGTGCTAGCTTGTTCTGGAGCTTTCGAAGAAAATGAAAAAAATGGGAATGGAAGAAACCGATCGTGCTTTTATCTCTGTCTCTCTATTTTGGGCTTTTTTTTAATTATCGAGGGGTAAACTTGTAATTTCACCCAAACATTGGAGCAAAATTAAATAAAACTTCTCTTTTGCACAAGACAAATTCGAACTAGGGACCTGAAGAGTTAATTGACAGCACAACTACCACTAGTTCAACAATCCTTCTTGTTTAAATATTTCCAACATTAATACAAATACAATTAAAATTAATTATTATATATTTTAAATTTTACTTAAAATTCCTGGGTATTACAGATTCATGTCCCTATCATCTTTTACAATACTATCAAAACTCAAGTATACAACTTCCTCTCCAAGGATCATAGATAATATGTACTTATTTACT